GAATTCATGAAGTTAGGGAAGGCCTCACAGGTTTCTGAAGATAGGTTCATCAGAGTAGTTTAAAATGTTACAGGAGAATTCAGGCCTAGGTGAACAGGTCATAGGATCATAGGTAATTTCTTCAGGTTACGTAATTTTGTTATACATATTATGTGTGTGTGTGTGTGTGTGTGTGTGTGAGAGCGAGAGAGAGAGAGAGAGAGAGAGAGAGAGAGAGAGAGAGAGAGAGAGAGAGAGAGAGAGAGATTGGTCAGAATCCTTGACTTAAAGACCTACTGTAGACATGGTTCCATGGGGTTCTGCTAGCTTTGTGTTAGAGTAGCCCTAGACATCTGAGTACCCAGAAAGCCAGGAAGTCTAACCTCTCTGTCAGCTGTCAGTCTTCTGCCAGGCCTTGGTCCTCCTGTATTGCAAGTTCTCCAAAGTAGTCCATTTTGGCTGTGTTATTATGTGTACTTCAAGGACTCTGTAGGGTGACTTCTCTAAATCCAACATCCTGGAAGCCCCGTTTCTTGTAAGCTACTTTCTGTGGAGATGTGAGTGGGTGAGATAGGATAATAGGAAAGAAGGTATGATTTTCTTTCCGTAGTCAGCCTGGCAAGTGATCAGAATTCATGGCAATGGCTTCCTATTCCCAAAGATTTGTTTGGGGGCATTGTGCCTAACTAACTCCTAACTGCCTCAGAAGTCCTGCATGTAGAACAACCAAGAAAGAGACAGACATATATTCCTTCTCTTTATTTATTTTTCTTTTTTAAAATTTTTTATTGTGAAAGTACTGTACAGAGGGGTTACAATTACATGGGCAAAATAATGAGTACATTTTTTATCAAGCATTGTTTCCCCCTCCTTGTTTTTCCTTCCCATCCCTTCCCATCTCTCCCCCAGTTCTCCCTTCCTCACCCTCTGCCAAAGGGGCTCCACCACTTGAGCCACATGTCTACTTCCAGCTTTTTGGTAGTTAACTGGAGATGAGTCTCACTGACTTTTCTGTCCTGGTTAGCTTCAAACCACAATCCTCAGATCTTAGCCTCTTGGGTAACTAGGATTACAAACGTGAGCCACCAACTCACTGCCTTCTGGACAGTCTTAATCATTCAGAACGAAACTAGCAAGAAAAAAGGTGCAAACCACAGACAATAGTAGTGACAGCTTACATTTAATTAAGTCTTTACTTCAGCAGATTATTTTTGTTTACATTAACCAATACAGGTAGAAACCATTGCTCTTCTCTTCTGCAAATGAAAACAAAGGTTGACTGACGTTGATGATATAATTTATAAAACCAGGATTCAAATGCAAATAACTCTTTCCCAGGTCTTTGCACTTAATCTCCTTTTTCTGTTATTATTTTTCCTAATATTATTCACATGGACAAGTAGTTCATTAATACACTTATTTCAGCCTTTAAGTGAGCACTGTGACTATAAAATACTTATCACAGAGAACCCAGCACCTTCAGTGTCCAATTGTTCAGAATAAGCAAACACATAAAAAACATGGCTTACAAATATATAAGCTAGATAAGTAGCTAAGTACATGTTGTTTGGTGTTTTCCTGATTATTTCAGCTCACAAGATCACCTCTTTCCTCCTAAGTTAATTTAAAAAATCATTGGGTACGGGGGCTGGGAATGTTGCGTAGTAGTAGAGTGCTTGGCTAGCATGCATGAAGCCCTGGGTTCGATTCCTCAGTACCACATGAACAATAAAAGTTGTAAGTGGGTCTGTGGTTCAAGTGGTAAAGTGCTAACTTTGAGCAAAAAGAAGCTCAGGTACAGGCCAGGCCCTGATTTCAAGGCCCAAGACCGGAAAAAAAAAAAAAAAAATCTTTGGGTTCTATCTGTTATCACTATGTTATTTATTACATTTTAAACACTAAAGTTTACAAATAAACCATTTGTATATATTAACTGTTTTAATGTCTTACAATAATTTGTAAGAATTTGTGTGGAATTTCACTTATTTTCAGAAAAGAAAAGAGATTTAAGGAAGTGACCTTTGGTAATTTATAGGAGGTTTTACAAGGTAGTGACTGGAGCCAGGACTCAGTAAACTAAGGTTGACTACAATGTCTAGGTTAAATAATGAAGGTGGAGACCACAATTAGGAAACCCACTTAACTTCCAGCTATTATTGCTGACTACTCTAGCCATGCAGAGGGAACGAGGAGGGCAAAGAAACAGAAAATGCAGGATTCTCAAGTTGTTTTCGTTGAACAAGAACTATCTAAGGATTATGTCAGCTACAACCACTACAATGTTGCTACCATTCCCAACCTTATATGCAGGAACTGATGTTGAGGTGAAGCTAAAAAACTTTGCCACTTTGTGGAAGTCAAGGAGTGTGATTCTTAGCCCAGTAAATTGCAGGAACTCAGAACTGGATTATTATTCTTGGACTCATTCTTTCAGCTTGGCTCATAGCACTGTGGATATTATCTTCTTAATTGCCAACTATATTCCCTTTCTCCAGTTGGAATTCCATTGGTTACCTTAGGATATGTCAGGTGCTTTCTATTTGCCTTCCCACAATGTTTAATGCCTAACCGTATTGTAGGATGTATGGTTGCATTGCACTGTAATAATCAGTTTACTCCCTTCTTGTATACTGAATGAGAAATTCGTAAGAGCAATGTATTTTTATAAAAAAAATCTTGGGCTGCTGGTGTAACTCAGGAGTAAAGTGTGAGGCCTTGGGTCAACTCCCAGCACCAAAATAAACAGAAAATCCTTTATCTATAGTGTTTACCTTATAGTAAAGCTCAAGGAGTGTTTGAGAAAGTCAATAACCTTGGTATTATCATTTATCCTAACAGAATGCATGCAACATCCACTGAATTAACTGAATTCCTACTATGATTTAGGCATTTGGAAAAAGGATAAGGAAGAGTTAGGCACAGGTGTTCCTGGGTACTAAGGAAACTTAGTTCTGAGGATTGCAATTCAAAGACAGGAAAGTTTGTGAGACTCTTTTCTCCCAAGTAACCACCAAAAAACCCAGAAGTGGAGCTGTGGGTCAAATGGTAGAACAGCAGCCTTGAGCAAAAAAGCTAGGAACAGCACTCAAAGCCTGAGTTCAGGGTTTATGCCACACACAAAAGATGAGAAAGAAATTGTTTCTGTTCTTGAGTTCAGATAATAACATAGTGATTAAGAATGCAAATTGTGATTGTGAGTCAATTGTTTAAATATATGTTTCAGTTTCCTCATGTGCAAGATGATGCTTTTAACATAAAATTTAATCTTTACAAGAATCAGTAACATAAGCTACTAGGTAATGCAGTCATACAACCCCTGCTCTACCTTTTTGGTGATACTGGTCTTTGAACTTAGGGTCTGTAATTTGCTCTATTGGCATACTACATCTTAAGCTCCACCTTGTCTTTTACTGCTTATTTTGGAGATAGAGTATAGCAAGCTTTTCTGTCTCTTGAGTATCTAGGATAAGCAGGCATGAGCCACTGTCTCCAGTTAATTTCTTCTCTCTCTTTTTCTTTTTATCTTTTTCTTTTTGCAGTACTGGGATTTGAATCCAAGGCTTTACACTTGCAAGGCAAGATAGTACTGCTTGAGCCACACCTCTATTATAAATTTTTGAAATGACTAAAACATTATGGTATTTGAAGCCGTCAGTCCAGTGACAGATATAGTAGATACATTGTAATAGTTGTTAATATAAATATGGGCCAAACACAGAAATTACCACAATGCAAACAGAAAATTTTAGGAGCCCTTGGATGGTTTAAGTTTCATAAAAAATATAACTGTGTACCTTGAAAATAATCTAGGAAAGTCTTCAACGTTAAAGCCTTAGAAATCAAGGAGTCCTACATCTGGAGTCAAAAGCTCAAATATGATACCATGCATGGTGTTACTGTACCAGAATTTAGGGACTCTAGTCACATATTAGAATTACTTTGAGATTATGTGTGTGTGTGTGTGTGTGTGTGTGTGTGTGTGTGTGTGTGCTGGTACTGGGAGTTGGATCCAGGGCCTGGGCTCTGTCTCTCAAGGTCTGTGCTCTACCCCTTGAGCCACAGCTCCACAACCAGCTTTTGGTGGTTAATTTTAGGTAAGAGTCTGATGGACTCTTCTGCATAGGGCTTCAAGCCTGTGATGCTCAGATTTGAGCCTCCTGAGTAGCTTGCATTTTTCACCTTGAGATTCTAATGTGCAAACAAATAGCTATCTTTCACTCTTCTCTCCCAACTAATTAGAATTTCTAGTAGATCCTTGCACAATCACTGTTTTAAACCTTTCCAAGTAATTCTGATGTGCAGCTAGAGTGGACATCTACTGAATTTTACCCAATGTGGGCAAGAGGGGCTAACATTTACCATCAACCACATTAATTGTTACAGTGGTCAGCTTCTTAAAAAAAAGAGTTTAATATTAAACAAATGCTGGCTAGTAGTGCAAACAGGATGACTAGGAAAGATTTCTTTTTTTAAAAAAATCAGGATACTTTCCTTATTAGGCATTAATTCATAACAGATTTTATCCACGATTAGGTTGGAACTGTCGGCCAAATGGTAGAGGGCCAACCTTAGGCGAAAAAGCTAAGAGACAGTGCCTAGGCCCAGAGTTCAAGCCCAGCGCACACACGAACACACGCAGAGAATTTATCCAAGAGCATAGGGCAAGTCAGACCAGGTGGGGAATAAACCAACTCCTTTCCAATTAATTGACCTTCTAAAAGGAAAGCACATGGAAATGTGCTTTTAAAAATGGCTAAGATCATGGGAAGAGAGAAGGAGAGTACTAATCCAAGCTAACCTAATCCCAAGAAACGAATAAGGGTCTTCAGCTTTCCCAAGCAGCCAGAGAAAAGGAGAGCTTGAACTCTATTCTGAAAGGGAGGAGCTTGGGGGTGGGTGGGGCGGGGAGGGAAGAAGAGCAAAGCAGAACTAACCACGCATGCGCCTCCCCCTGGCGCCGGGGCGCCAGAACAAGCTAAGGGCGGTGAGTTACGACCGCTAGCGGAGACGTCACGACACCTGCCGTAAAGGCCGTCTGTGTGTGCGTGCGCGCTGTTTCCCGGGTGCTGGCCGCGGCTGTGAGGGACCTGGCCGTGCCGCGCGGCCCTCACGTCACGATGGTGAAGCTGAGCAAAGAGGCCAAGCAGAGGCTGCAGCAGCTCTTCAAGGGCGGCCAGTTCGCCATCCGCTGGGGCTTTATCCCTCTCGTCATTTACCTGGGTCAGTGCGAGAACCTGCCAGGAGAGCGGAGGTCGGAGGGCTCGCGCGGCTGTGAATTTAGGCTCCCGGGAACCGGAACCGGGCACCCCACGGCGCCCGACGGCGTCTCGTCTCGTGGGGGTGGACGGGACTAGTCGGGTGGTCTTCAGCACCGCACCCGGCTCTTCCCGTTCTGCGTTTGCCTGTGAAAATGGAGGCGCGGGCTGTTTCTCAGGGTGGCTGTGAGGTGTCGGAGCTACGCGGCGGCTGGGGTGGGTTTTCAGGGCGTTTGACCCCCCCCCCCCCCCGCGGGTCTAGCGTGGAAAGGAGCCTGGCCTGGGAGTGAGTGCCTTTGAGGCCACGGTCATTGCCACTACAGTAGTTGGATGTTTTTGCCTTCTCACTCGGTTGGGTGATTTTTATTACTGGTCCTTTTCAAATGGGAAGAAGCTGAGCTATAGAAAAGGCATCGTTCGTTGCCAAGGTCACAGGGGACTAAGCCAGGAGGCCTGGGGGGCGGTGTCTAACCCTGGTCCTGGGGCCTCAGGGTCCCTACTCTCAGTCGTATTGCTGAGCTGCAAGCATTTGTCAGTGCCCAGGCGAACTGTCACATAGGGCTGCACACTGCAACTTTACCCTCTTTTTAAGGTTTGCTTTGTTGTTAAATTCAGGCAGTATGGTGAAAGGGAAAGCATAGGTTCTAGCCACAGCTCTGTGAGTTTGAAGATACAATTTGACATTTCAGGAGCTCATAGTTCACACTTCATTTATTTTTTAAGTTTATTGTAAAGGTGATGTACAGAGAGGTTACTGTTACATAGGTGAGGTAATGTGTACCTCTCTTTTTGAACAATATTTCACACTTTATGTGCTGGTTTCAGTTCATTTAAAATGTCATACACTGTGTAAAGTTTATTTGGTCTTTACCTTAACAGCCTTGGAGTAGGTTGGACATCCTCTAGGTGATTCTTATTTTCCCTTGAGTTAGTTGCAAGCCATTAGTTATAAGGGGATACTATGTATGAAGGTCTTTAAAATATCATTTTCCTCCCTTATTTTGAATTCATTAAAAATATATATTACTTTTCCACATTTTGGTGACTTTGTTTAGGTATCAAGGATTAGAGATAATTATGACAGTTTACTTACACAGGCTGTGGTTTTTTTCCTATTCCTTGCATCCTTGCAGCCCATTATTCCCCCATTATTTTTGGTTTTGGTTTTGACTTTTCTACTCCATACAGTCTGGAGTATCTGCATACTGGTTCCCTTTCTAGGACTACCATTATGGTGATTTTCACTCTATTGTCTAAGATGCTAAGGCTGTCTTTACAGTACTTTATCATTGTCTTTTACACTGCATGTCAAAGTTAATTTTATGTTTAAACTACTCTCCAGGTTCTTTAGCATATTAGTTATCCTGAAAATAGGGTAAAATTTCATAATTTATAGTTTCACAATTTAACAATTCACAGTTCTTGGTTTTTTATTGTTGTTTTGTTTTTTTTTTTTTTTTGGTAGGGTCTTGCTTTATAGCCTGGACTGGCTTTAAAAGTTCCTCCTGACTCCTGAATACTAACCACCACACCTAACCCTTCTTAATTCTTGATGTTCTTAACCTGTTACTTTAGCATATATATTTACATATGCATTATCACATTTTAAAGTATATTTTGAACAGTAAAAGGTATATTCATACTTGAGAGCTAATTTAATTTAGTTGATTAGTAATCATTGAATTACTCCACTCCTTTTTACCACTAGCCTTTGCTTTATAAAAAGTGTGTTTGGAAGAGTTAGAGATCCTCAATTGTGCTTTTAAAAGTATTTGTGTTCCTCCTCATGTCTTCCAGTGTGATTTGAGACTTGTGTTAATATATTTCTACCTAACAACTAATAATGAAAAGTATAACAAGCTAAGTACTACTGTGTTAATTTCCTATATAGTAGAAGATAGCTTGTGCCTTCTGCTGATTAGTCTTGGAGATTTTCATACTGTAGTGAAAGATTTTTTGGGGTGAGGAGGGGGGGAGGATCAGTCCTAGGGCTTGAACTCTGAGCTTGGCCACTGTCCTTGTGCTCTTTAGCTCAAGGCTAGCACTCTGCCACTTGAGCTACAGCACAACTTCTGGTTTTCTAGTGGTTTATTGGAGATAAGAGTCTCATGGACTTTCCTGCCCGAGCTGACTTTGAACCATGATCCTCAGATCTCAGCCTTCTGAGTAGTTAAGATTACAGGCCTGAGCCACTGGTACCCAGCTTGTAGGGAAGATTTGAATCTCTTTTGTAGCACAGATTAATCTACATGGTATTGATTGATATGGTGTCATTTTAGCTGTACTGGATTAGATTAAAAAGAAAGCCTTACATTTTTTTGTCTTCTGGTATTTCAATGAATTTCATTTTTTTTTTTTTTAGGGTTTTAAAGGGGTCCAGATCCTGGAATGCCTGAACCAACAGAGGTACTGCTCTTACTAATAAACATTTCAGGGCAATGTTTATGTAAGTGTTAAGTCATTGGGAAGCAAAACAATAACAATGGTAGCTGCTGAATGGACTGTTACAAATCATTGTGGTCTTGGGCTGTTGGAAAAACCTTGTGGACCTGTTTATCATGTTACCAGGTACCCACTTATTCCTTCCAAATTTTTATTATTATAATCATAGAAAACATATTTTAGAAGAAAAATAACTAATTTATTATCTTACTACATCACAAGATGAACTGTTTAATTTTTACATTCACATCTTATCCTTTTTCAGATAAATACAGCCTTTTGTGTTGTTCTAACAAGGGCACATAGGATTTTCAGTTTTTTCTCACCTAAAATTGGACTTTTTATTCTTTTTGTTTTCCAGTGCCCATTAGTTTGATTTTTCAACTTTTCAGTATTTTACATGATAATACATTTATTTATTTATTTACTTACTTATATGCCAAGGCTGGAGCTTAAACTCATGGCCTCATGCTCTTCTTTGGCTTATTTCCTACAAGGCTGGTAATCTATCACTTGAGCCAAGCCCCTTGTTTTACAACATTGTAATGTACGTAGATTTCTATAGACTTTTAATTCCTTACAAAAAGTTTTTTTTATTTCTTTTTTAATTGCCAGTCCTGGGGCTTGAACTCAGAGCTAACGTTCTACCAATTGAGCCACAGTGCCACTTCTGGCTTTTTCTGCTTATGTGGTACTGAGGAATTGAATCCAGGGCCTTATGTATGCAAGGTGAGCACTCTACCATTAAGCCACCTTCCCAGCCTCTCCTTACAATAAATTCTTAAAGAAATTAGTAAATTCATAATGTACAAAATATACAAACATTCATACTCTGAAAATGAAGTCACATTTCTTTCCCAGAAGCAACCTTGCTGGTGTTGGACAAGCAGTTTCAGAAGCTTCATACACACTGTGTATATATTTATGTACACATCTATATATATGTATACTTGTCTGTTAGTTTTCCATTATTTTGGCAAAGTGAGTTAACCAAACTAACTTGGCTCATGGCTTCAGTGACTTCAGTCTATGGTTACTTGGTCCTGAGGATGTGGGCCTGTGGTGGCATAGTCCAAAATAGCAGGAGCATGTAGTAGAGGAGGCCTGTTCACTTCATGGTAGCAGGAAAATAAAGAAAGAGGAGGGCAGGGTATGCCCCCAGTGGTATGACTTCATTCTATAAGGCTCTATACCTCTTAAAGGTTTTCCCACCTCCCTGTAGCTTTGCAGGCTGCATAACCAAGCCCACTTAAGCTTTTGAGTGGTATTCTGAATCTAAAATAGAGCACTGTGTAAAAATTACATAAACATGTATGTGAATGATATATGTATGTGTGTATATATATATATATAGATAGATAGATAGATATAAATATAAATGAAACTAGAATCTCAAGCAAATTTGCTTCAGAAGAAGGACTGATAATTCTGGTGCTGTGAGAGCCTTGACTGCTGCTTGGGATTTCAGCTTGACCCTCTGTTTTAAGACATCTCTTGTAGACTTCACTGATACTCTAGGCTTTAGTTTTTTCAAAACCTCTGTTAAGTCACTTTTTTCTAGTGTGGTCATTAAAAAAGTATACAGATTGAGTATTATCCAAAATGTTTAGGACCAGAAGTGTTTGCTATTTCAGATATTCGTATTGTGGATTGGCAACAAATGAGGCTTTCTTTCTTTACCTCTCTCTCTCTGCTTAACATTTTATTTTTTTGAGAGGTTGAACTGGGAGTCTATTAGAAAGCCGGTAACTATGAACAGACTCACGTACCCCCCAAAAACATGCAACATGTAGTGCAGTTAATGCTGTTAGTTAATGCTGAGCAGTGAAGGTATCGAGAAAGAGCAGAAAACAAATCACAACAAACCAGATCAACTCTAATAGAGTTGTGACCTGATGAGTCAGGAGACAGGAGGAGAATCAACAGACATGAGACGTGGTATGAGACGTGGTGGCAGAGGTGGAGGGGTCATGGTCAGAGGGCAAGGTCACATGGAGCTCCAGAGTGCAATGAGTTTATGGTACAGACCTGGCAGGTCTGGGAACCTATTGTCCAAGTCCCTGCCCATCTGCTTCTAGGAGTTTAGGTGCCTATCACCTGGGGGTGGGCATGGGGAAGTGGATTCCACCTCCAGAGCCCTGGGAAAGTCTCCATCATCCACCAAAATGCCAGCATGGCACCAGTTAGACTCAGTATCTATCCATAACATTTTATTGCATCTCTTAAAACTGTCCTCTGGGGAAAACAGCATGCTATATAATAGTACATGCTAATCCCAGCATGTGCCTTTGCCCATTTGGCTTAATGTCCGGAATTCTCTTTTCCGTATTTCCATCTGATGAAACCTTTTTCAGGAAAGCCCTCAATGTTAGCTCTTTGCTAAATGTCTTCTACTTCTGGCTTAAACTGATTGCATTTCTATGTTCCCATAGTATTCTTTCACATATGCCATTCTGCCTTGTATTATGCTTGCTGCTTATGTACATTACATTTTTTTTCCTGCTAAGGCCTAACTTAGCTGCTCAACAAATGTTGAATTAACTAAATGACTCCAACCCTTGGTCTTTGTGTCTTGGGGAATCTCAGACGCAGGGGTGGGGATGGAATAGCTGCTATTCTTGGAGAAACTTTGGACCTTCAGAGTTACAGAAAGATGAGATAACTGCCTGAAAGTTTTATTTCTCCACCTTACTGTCTTTTCAGTGCTTCCTCTTTTCTTGTGCTGACTTTCTCAGTCTGTGTCATATAGGGTGTGTTCTAATTTCCTTCCTTCCTTCCTTCCAAGGTATACTTGCATTTTAGGAAAGAATTGATTTCCTGCAAGGGTTGTCTAGTTACACAATTTCATATTCTTTGCTGGCTGCATTGGGGAGACTGGAGAGGTGTTGCTTGGTTGCCCACTCTGTATCCGGAAAGAACAGAATTAATATAAAATTTAATGTTAATATAAATTTTATTGCTTATACACAAATTTATTATTACTCTTGGAGGTACTGGGGTTTGAACTCAGGGCCTTGTACTTGCTAGGCAGGTGCTCTTCCAGTTTGGTCTCTTTTTCCTGGGGCTATCCTGGAATGTGATCCTCCTGTATGTACTCCTGTGTATCTGGAATGACAGGTGTGCACCACTGCTCCCAGCTTTTTTATGGTTGATATGGAGACTTACAAACTTTTGCCTGGGTTGGGCCTGAACTACAGTCCTCCAGATTTTAGTTTTCCTAGTAGCTAGGTCTACAGCCATGAGTATCTGGCTCCGTAATTTTATTATTTATATAATACTTATAAGCAATATAATTAGTAGTTTTTGATATTTTCTTTTTTTTGGTCATGGGGCTCCAACTCATCTTGGGCACTATCTCTCAGCTCTTCAGCTCAAGGTGAGCGCTTTACTGCTTAAGCCACAGAGCCACTTCTGGTGTTCTAGTGGTTTATTGGAGATAGGAGTCTCACGGACTTTCCTCCCCGGGCTGGCTTTGAACCATGATCCTCAGATCTCAGCCTCCTGTGTAGCTAGGATTATAAGTGTAAGCCACCGGTGCCTGGCTTGATATTTTCTTTCTTTTGGAAAATTGTTGCCTTTTGGTATTAGAACTACGTTGATCTTAGTAACCACTTTTTTTATCCAGCACTACAGTGTATGCCTTCATCAGTTGTTGGTTGATAAGAATGGTATTTTCATATGTAGTGTTTTAATGAAAAAGAGTAAGTAGATTAGTATCTGTTGTACTGCAAGGAAGATTTTTATTTTGGATGCTCATTGTCAGAGGCATCTTTTTTTTTTTTTTCAATGATAGGGATTGAATTCAGGGCTTTGCACATGCTAGGCCAGTGTTCTAACGTTGGGCTACTACATCTTTAGTTTGAGTTTATTTTCACATCTCAACTGTATGCCAGAATTAGTGGGAGATGTTAATACTTTTCTCCTTCCTGGATCTGTTGCTTCCAGTTAACCAATTGTTTGGGATTCTGGCAGCTTCTTAGTGGAGGGAATGTTTGTGGTAAGAATTAGGTGAAGTGGGAATGGAGGCTAATTTCTCCTGGAAATGTGAATAGGCCAAGGTATTTAGAGTACTCAGGTTTCATGTAATCATTTCAAGGTCTCCATTTCCACGGTTTTTTGTTTGTTTGTTTGTTTTTGTTGGACATGGAGACTGCACTCTGAGCCTAGGGGCTGTCCCTCAGCTCTTCAGCTCAAGGCTAGCGCCCTATCACTTAAGCCACAGCACCACTTCCAGCTTTTTTCTGCTTATGTGGTGCTGAGAAATTGAACCCAGGGCCTCATGCATGCAAGGGAAGTTCTCTACCACTGAGCCAGCTTTCCAGCGCAATTTTCACAGCTTTAAAGCAAGAATCTTAACGGGGAGTTAAGTGGGTTTCCATACAGAGTGTGGCTCACTGAAGGTCTTCAGTCAATATTATTTTAGTATTGATGCTGAATCTCATGATGAAGCTTTATTATCTGAACTCCTCCATTATTCTAGTCAGTAGAGTTATGCATCATTTGCCTTTTTACTGATATCATTTTATATATCAACATACACTTTCCTTTTTGTTTCTAATAGGTAATCTCACAAAAAAATTAAGACAACTATTGTTTTAAATGCTGTTCGGAATGTTTCAATATTTTGTTGTGTTATTTAATTCTTGTCTTCAGAACTGCATTTGACAGATGAACAAACACATAAGTATACAAAATACTTGAATTCTTCAGCTGTGATTATGCAATTTTGTTTCAGGGTTTAATGTATTTTTTCCTCTTCACAAACCTTTTAGCCTACTTTGGGGATAAAGGACTATTTGGTCATCTGGACTTGGAAGCAATCCTGAACAGAAACACTATGGAAGGTGTGTGCTCTGGATGGGATAAGACATGGGACATCGTTCAGGTGGCCAGTCTTCATTTGGATGGCACAGGGCTCTTCTCAGATGCATCTGTGATGGAGTAGAACCTCTTCTGACTTATTTATCATACATAGACTATCAAAATAAATATTTTCAACAATGTTATGTCTTGAGTCTTTTCTGAATTAAGTGTACTAAGACCATCAGGTAAAAATAAAGCCTTTTGTTACGTTTTCAGAACAAGTAGTGTATGTATGTGCCTTGATGCTGCTGCCTTAAAAAGTAAAAGCATCCATGTCGGTTCCTGGCTATCACTTAACAGAAGAAATTCCTGTTTCTGTTGCAGTGAATCAACAGTTCCTTTAGAAATGGTCTGAGGTTAATAAGGGTGGGCTCGCCTCTCGTATTTCAATACATTGAAGTAAAGTTCTGACTACAAGAAAGGGGATTTGATTGTCTGTATTGCTAGGGATGGAAATGGCATTGTGGAATTGTATGTGTAATTTGTTTGTAGGTTAAATGTGAATCCATTCTTTTCCTCAGTGGTGTTAGCAAATTACTACTGGCCAGACGAGTCCCAAAGGGATTGTACTACTACATGACATTTTTCTGGTAAATGCAAAAGCAGTTCAAGATAACTGGTTTCTTGGAACCTTTTCCTGTAGTTTTGGTTTTTTTTTCTTGAGATAGGCTTTTGCTATGTCCTTCAGGTTGGCCTTTAACTAAAATCCTCCTGACTCTGCTTCCTGGATGCAGAGATTATAGGTATGTGACACCATGGCCAGCTTTTTTTTTTTTTTTTCTCATGATGGGTTTGAACTCAGGGCATGGGTGCTTTGTACTCAAGGCTAATGCTCTACCACTTGAGCCATATACCACTTCTAGCCTTTCTGAGTAGTATATTGGATAAGAGTCTCATGGAATTCTTTGCTTGGGCTGGCTTCACACCATGATTCTCAGAACTCAGTTTGCTCAGTAGCTAGGAGGCATGAGCCATAGTGCGGAGCTATGCCAGCCTTTACCTGCATTTGAAACATTATGAAACAGTATAGCGTGTATGTGTGTGTGTGTTTGTCTGTCTGTCTATGTGTGTGTGTGTGTGTCTGTCTGTCTGTCTGTGTCTCTCTGTCTGTCTGTGTGGCATTGGGGATTGAACCCAGGGCTTCAGTTTCTTGTACTTCTTGAGCTATGCCTAAGCCCTGGAGCAGTTTTTAAGTCCCATAGAATTGGTAAGTTTGAAGCCTTCTTCCCATATTCTGTTTTTGTTGTGGTATTTGCAAATTCCTATTCGGTTATTATTCTGTGCATTCTTTGTCACGCTGGATTTCTAGAACTGAGAAAGTAAAACTTGGACAGTTGTCCATTTTACAAGATAGTAATAAGGATAGCTGTCTACTGATTTAAAAGTGAAAAATCAAGGATGATTATCAGTTGTGTCATTTCAAAGAAGTTACATAGGTGGAATCATTAACTTTTTGGATTTTTTTCCAACTTAATGTAATTCTCTATCCATCCAGGTTATGTGTATCAATAATTGATTCCTGCTTTATACCATGGCTCACACCTATAATCTTAGCTACTCAGGAGGCTGAGAGATGAGGATTACAGACCAGGCAGGAAAGTCTGTGAGATTTTATTTCCAGCAAAAAGCCAGAAGTAGAACTGTAGCTCAAGTGGTAGAGCACCTTCCTTGAGTGAAAATGCTTGATAGGAAATGGACTCATTACCCTAGTCATGTAACTAACTCCTCTGTACAGTATTTAAAAAAAAATATATATATATATATATATATTATATATATATGAAAAAAAAACCAGGGACAGCGCCCAGTCCCTGAGTTCAAGCCTCAGTACACACACACACACACACACACACACACACACACACACACACGTTGATTTCTTTTTTTATTGTTGAGTAGTGGTAGTTTATAATGTATATGGATATTGTCTAGGTTTCCAGTTCAGCTGCTAAAGCAGTGGGTTTTTTGTGTAATCTATGTCTTTTTCAAAATTTATTTTTTATTTTAATTTTATTGTCACAGTGATGCACAGAGGGGTTACAGTTACAAAAGTAAGGTAGCACTTTTCTTGTCGAACATTTTACCCCCTCCCTCATTTTTCTAATAGACCAAAACCTGGGTGATCTTGTTGTAACTCAAATATGAGAATTGCTACCATAGATTTATAGTGGCCCTTCTGCTACTGTTTAATACCCAGAGAGGCCTTTCTATGACCTATAAGACCCTATAGAATCTGGCTTCACATACTTTGGGTCTCTGTTGCCTGTGACTCATTGTTTACACTAATGCTGTTTTGGCATCTTTCTGCCCTTTAAGAAGGCCAGACATGATTTCACCTAGTAGTTTTCACTGTATCTTCACTGGATTGTTCTCCCTGATATCCATATGATGACTTGTTCTTCTAATCTCAGTGTTCTCTAACCTCTAATAGCAAACCTCTTATCTGTCTTACCTATCACTGTCTCCCTTAACCTCCTTTCACACAACCTTTACCAGCCCAGTTACATTTTAAGCTACAATACACACACACACACAGACCTCGAATGTAAGTTCCATAACTATATCATATGGTCTTTACTGCTGTAATTTTTAGTGCCCAGTACAGACCCTGGCACATTAATAGGTGTTCAATGAGCAATGGGTGCATGGATTATGGGATTTTAAGTAAAATGCAGTGTGAAGAGGAAACAGAAAACATGAATCATTGTAATGGGCTAGTGTTTTTTCTTTGCAGTAATCATAATGGGTTATTACAGTATTGACATTATTATAGACATTGACAGAATTACAAACGACATCAGAATATGTTGAGAGGGATGATACAAGAAAGGACTATTTACTGTGACTTGTTCCTTTTTCCATTCAGTCTCCACAGCAGCCTGGTTAAGGAGAATATTAATGTCCATTTTGCGGATCAAACAAGCTTGTTCCCCTAACTCAAAAGAAAATGTTGGACTTGAGCCCAAATATGCTAGCACTGTGAGATGATTTGATTATTATATTCATTTTGTTGGCATGGGTTACTTATTTGTATAACTGATGAGATAATTTGTACAATGGATGAAATAATTGAACAATTATAGAAACAATGTAAATATTTCAAGTTTACCATGCCTTATACACAATAGCACATACATTCAAATTCACATAATAAATATACCTTTTTAAAAAACTCAATTGTAATGAACACTAAACATGTATTTTTGTTTCCTTAAATAGCCTACATTCTAATTAAGGTGTATTTTATGTACTAAAATGATCAAGTCGTAGTGCTTATACAGTCTGATAAGTATTGCATATAGCCTATTGGGGACCAGGGTCTTAGACTTGCCTGGTCCTCTATCATATTGATGTTCCACAAATGTTAATAGGTCAACTAGAGGCATAGGTGAAACAAACTAAGAGGTTTCAGTTTTAAATTCCAAAAGGACCAAATTAGTTTCTTGTGAGGGCTATGTTCTCCACGGTCCCTGGGGTTCAATGAATGCTTAGTAATTCTTAACTATCTGTTCCCTCCCCTAAACATTTCCACTCACTTTACCCTTACCATCTAGTTTTGTTTAGTATATTGCTAATACTGACCATAGTTCCTGGCACAAAGTGACTAAATATTTGGTAGGCATAGGAGACATGATAGAATGTTCCCTGCTGAAACATTTTTTGGAGAGATCTCTGCAATTTTTGCTCAGCTTCAGAGCAGCTGGTCTCAGCCCTCCTGGAGTTTTGCTCTACTCCACAGCTTAGGGCCAAGGAGAATCTGAGAAGAGTGTCCACAAAGATGCATTATTGGATGAATTTCTGAATGAAGATTATGTGCAACAAACATGCATTGCTCTGATGTGGGAAGAAGTAACTAGAAGGAAACTGTAAAGAGATGAAGCCAAATTAGATTGAAGCAGACAATGTGGATAGTCAATGGAATGCTGGAAGGAAGAGTAGATATGTCCTGATAGACAGTGGGGAGCCACTATTTAGTTGGAAAATAACAGTTATAAATACACTAAACCAAAATGCTTTGCTTAACAATCATTGATTAAAAATTCTTACACTATCTACTCAACTGTGTTAATGGTATTTTGTCACTGTGATCAAATAACAGAGAGAGAAAGTCAAGAAAGATTTATTTTAACCCATAGTCTCACATAGATCAATATGTCAACCAGGTTCATTGTTTCTGGGTCTTGGTGGCAGAACATTATAGCAGGACACATGAAGAATCAAAGTTGCTACTTCATGGCAGCCAAGAAGCAAAGGAGAGTCAGAGCTAGGAAAGGACAGGACATAAGGTACATCGTCTGGGGAAAGTACCCAGTAATCTCCTTCAATCAGGCCCCATCTCTGAAAGTTTTTATCACTCCCAATGATACTCTCAGATAATTAATCCATCAGTGGATCGATCCATTGATTAAGATAAAGCCCTGACAATCTAATACTCTCTCAACTGGACCAATCAGCTTAGGGCTAAGCCTTTACATGTAAGTATTTGAGGAAGAAGCACTTAATACCTAAGCCGTAACACCCTTTTTGAGGACCCCTTTTGATACCACATTCATGTTGAATGCCATTAAACCATGGGTTTCTAAAATTAATTTTTCCCTCACCATTTTTTGCCTGAATGAAATCTAAAGAAGTGAAATATAGGAATGAAGTGCCACATTCATTAAGAATTTGTGCCAGACTAGCAGGATGAGTGAGAGGATTACCATTTTCATTGCCATCCTTTTGTTCATTTTCAAATTTAGTCAATTCTAAAGCATGCTATCTTTTCTTTTTTGTTAGTTGTGGGGCTTGAATTCTGGGCCTGGGCACTGTCCCTCAGCTTTTCAGCTCAAGGTGAGCTTTCTACCACTTCAGCCACAGTGCCACTTCTAGTTTTTCTGGTGGTTGGAGATAAGAATCTCACAGACTTAACTGTCCAGGCTGGCTTTGAACAGGATCCATAGATCTCAGCCTCCTGAGTAGCTAGGATTACAGGCATGAGCTACTAGTGCCTAGCTAGCATGCTATTCTTTCTTGGGATGCTTTGTAATGTCAAATTTTAAAACAAGTGATTTATTTCTCTGAATTATGTGTTTATCTTTCAAGAGTTCTCATGAAACATGTAAATCTGTAAGAACTAATGGATAGTTATCCATTTTGCCCA